TGGCTATGCTGAGTAGCCCTTCACAGCTCCTCCAGGACTTCCCAAGTTCGAAAGCAGAGTTTTTGGAATGAGTTACAAGGCATGGTACGCCCAGCTAGCAGCTCCCTGTGGTAGGTTGGGGAAACCTGTGGGAGACGTGCCTTCTGCTCCGGTGTTGGGAAGACAATGCTTCGACACAGGCTGCGCAAACCCATCCAGGGGAGCTAGGCCACTCCAGAAAGAAGAGGAAAGTTTTTTTTTTGTTTTTTTTTTTTTTTTTTTTTTTTCCTTTTGCATAAAGGCCAATTAAAATAGTTGGGCACTAGGGCACATCCTCAGCCGAGCCACTCCCTGTCCCCAGCACATCCCAGGGCAGGTCCTGCCACCCACATCCCTCTGCATCCTGCCACCACAGTGACAGCATCTGATGGGTGGCAGGAGGAACCCAAGCCAAGTCAGCTTGTGGCCACAGGGCAGACGCCCTCCTAGAAATTGCTGCACGCTATTAAATGCTCCTGCAGCAGGCTGCTTGCCAACAGGTGAGGCAGGATTTGGTCCCACAGAGGTAGCAGTGTAATTGAGTCAGCACAGCTTCTCCTGCCACAGGACAAACCAATTTGTTGTTTGTTTGTTTTTTTTCCTTCTTTTGCCATGACTGCTACGTGCCTGGGGAAAGAGGAGGCTGTGGGCTGCCTTGTAGGAGTGAAGAGACAGAAGCAATGGCTTTCCTGAAGCACGAGACTACTCCTCATCCATCTGTGGTCTCTAAAGCCTTGAAGCTCCATGGACTACCTCAAAGGAGGCCCTGAAAGCTAATGTGGAAAAGCAAAACATCTCACATCCATTACAGAGATGCCATCTCCATTACTAGCTATCTTTTCGGGATCTCTCAGTTGGAGCACAGCAACAGTAGCTATGCAGAGCTGAGAGAGGGAGTGAGGAGAATCTTATCAAGTAGAGATAGAGCACTGATGGCATTGAACTAGGCTGCTACTTAGCGTCTTTGCTAACTATGGTGCATTGTGCAAATTAACTAAAGCAAGAAGCCTTGGGCCCCTTACCAAGGTCAGCCTCCTAATAAGAGCGTGAGCCTATCTTAAGAAACTGGCAGAAACTGGTCCTGCGGATGGACAAGAGCCAAGGAGCAACCGAGTCTGCGCAGAGACAAGAGGTCAACTAGCAGTGATGAGGAAGAGTCATCAATCTTCATCCCCACGATCCCCAACAACCACCACCAGAATACACTGTGCAAGCACAGATGGAAGGAGTTTATGGAAATGACTCCTTGGAACTAATTGTAATATGAAGCGGGGACAGGTTATCACAGAATCACAGAACTGTAGGGGTTGGAAGGGACCTCGAAAGATCATCGGGTCCAACCCCCCTGCCAAAGCAGGTTCCTCAGAGCAGGATGCCCAGGTAGGCCTCCAGACAGGCCTTGAATATCTCCAGAGAAGGAGACTCTACAACCTCCCTAGGCAGCCTGTTCCAATGCTCCATCACCCTCACCGTGAAGTTTTCGCATGTCAGTACAGAACTTCCTGTGCTCTAACTTGCAGCCGTTGCCCCTCGTCCTATCCCCACAAACCACTGAGAAGAGGTTGGCTACATCCTTCTGTCCCCCACCCCTCAGATATTTATATACACTGAGGAGATCCCCTCTCAGTCTTCTCTTCTCCAGGCTGAACAGGCCCAGGTCTCTCAGCCTTTCTTCATAAGGAAGATGCTCCAGGCCCTGTATCATCTTTGTGGCCTTCCACTGGACTCTTTCTAGGAGATCCCCGTCTTTCTTGTACCGGGGAGCCAAGAACTGGACACAGTACTCCAGGTGAGGCCTGACCAGGGCAGAGTAGAGGGGGAGGATCACTTCCCTTGACCTGCTGGCCACGCTCCTTTTAATACACGCCAGGATCCCATTAGCCCTCTTGGCCACAAGGGCACACTGCTGGCTCACGGTCAAATGAATATGTATAGGCGTATTGTGAAATTTCATGCATATGTAACTCTTTGCTGCATATAACCAAGGCAAGTTGCCGCATCAGGTGCGCACGACTGGCGGGACTACCCCCCATGCTGCCCAGCGCTGAATAAACATACCTACTTTACAGTCTTACTGATTGTGGAGTCTGTTTTCCACAAGTCATAGCCAGCAAAGCCAGACCAAACATGGGACAGCCCAAGGCAGATGTGGAAGAAACAAAGCCTCTCTTTCCAGCATGGAAGCTGGAAGATAGATGCTCAAAAGCTTTAAGAACACCCAATGGCATCCCTGTTTCAGTCTGAACTGACCAGAAAATGTATTTCTCTTACAATCATTAGCAAGGCATCCATTTTATAATTTACTATAGATACATACATTTATATAATTTATATGAAGTGTAAATTAAACAGCCACTCTCTCAAGTAAACATAAAATTACTGGCTAGCTACACTAGCCCTTCCCTTCTGATGACTCAATAAAGCACTAATTGCACTCCAGTAGCAGAACTGTACTTTCTCCAAGGAGTTTCACAAGGACATCCTGAAGCATTTATGGACACTACTTGCCCATAAGCTTCAACACTGCACAGATTTTCCAGATGGGAACAGTTGTCCTTTCCCCAGCCTGAAAAAGAGCTACTCCAAACACACCAGCAGACTGTTAACTCTGAAACTTAACAACATCATAGGTAATGTAAACATCTGAATGCTTCTGCTAAACTGAAGAACAATGATGCAATTTGCAGTATTCCACTGCTCTGCAATTTAGCAGAAATATTCCAACAATATGCTAAGTGTGCCCAAAACAGTTCCTGAAATATAGGATCCCAGCCCCAGCTTTCACAGAAGCCACAGGCCTTGCTGTACGTTTAGGTACAATTCCTCACAAACACGCAGGACCTTACTGAAGGCTCACTGTGGAGAACGTTTCCACACTTTGAACATGATCTTTCACAGCTCTCAGGAACCCTCCACAGACAATTCCCAGCCCAGTTGTGCGCAAGGCTGACTCAGCTACAGGAACAAGCATGTGAGAGCAAGCCGAACGCCTCAGACAGCTCACTCCTCTCACAGATCCCTCTGCAGAGGCAGGGCTGGTGTTCAGTTCATCTCCACAAATGATTTTGCCAGCCTCCTGCAGCCCTGTCAGCTGGGGAGCCCCTGGGGGCTGCTCACCTGACACTCATCATTTACCACATCACCTTCACCATCTAACTTCTGCTCCTTTGCCTCCCTTTAAAAGCAATTTGAGATTTTTTAAGTGATAAAAAATATTTCCTCAGAGCTAGACAAAATTATTAGTCCCACAGTACTTTAACTGTGACACAGTCAATTCTCAGAGTGCTCCAGTGCAAGCTCTGTAGAAGGAAGGCCCAGAGCTCAGAGGGAAAGAGCTTTAAATACAAACACAGCCCAAGCCACCCAAAACAGAAAACACGTGCATCTCTGCCAAAGAAAACACAGGCTACAAATTTTACTCTGGACTTGAGGGAATAAAACCCAGTGCAAGGTTTTGCTTTTGGACCTCAGGATCAGCTAAGTGCAGAATTAAGCCTTTATGGTCGTTATAAGGAAAAAGAACATGAACCTACACCACACAATGTGGTTTTTTTTTCCATGTGGTGGGGACAAAGTGTGAACATTTGCATGCCAAGATCACAAAAAACATAAGCAGAGCGCGATGCTTCCCTCTCCAACATGCATGACATCCCCTGCTGTGCTGGATGCTCTAATGGTGTGGTGGTTTTACTGTGCTAGGCAACTAAACACCACAACCGCTCTCTCACTCCCCCTCCTTAGATGAGGAGTACAAACAGCACCCGCCATCAGAAAGCTTTCTTAGGTTTGTAGATGGAAGGAGCATTAAACCACCAGAGGAAGAGTCTGGAAGCTCAGTACCTTGTGTCTCCTCTCATACCTTTTGTTGCTGTAAACAAGGCTGGCTTTTACTACAGCAGTCCCAGTGGTGGCTGTGACTCCCGGCAGCAGTTTGCACCCCTCCAAGCAGTGGAGGAGGAACAGCATGTGGAAGCAAAGGCAGCACAAAAAGACAAACGAACAGAGCCTACTATTTCAGAGGAGCAACTGTTTCTGCTTTCCACCCTGACAAAGCCATCCAAGGGACAGCTGCACATGCAATGCCACCTATGGGCACAGAAGCTCAGCCCCAGATTTGCACCATTCCAGGGCCAGGGACACCCACAGCTTGCCCTCACATCAGATTACATGCTGGAAGCAAGCCAGCAGCCAGAAATACCACTGTATGTGTCTCCCCAGGCTGGCATGACACATGCCATGCTGTGGCGAGCTTGGATGCAAAAGGGGCAAGGAAGGTTTTGTACTGCATCCCTCCTCTTGTAGGGCACACCTGCATCCTCCAAGAATGCCTCTCAGCCTCATTTTCCAGAGAAACGACTAGAGGCACTGATTTTTGAGGTGCTGGGACCCCAGGGTCGCTCAGCAGCCATGCCTCCAGGCTTACAGCACGGCTCACAAGAAAACTGCCAGTGTGTGAGCTCTCAGGTGCCAAGCATGGACCCGCAGCCGGGCTGGAGAGCACAAGCACCCTACAAGCACATTTGATCCCATGGCCACCAAGGCCACACACACCACCACCTGGCCCAAAGGGAAGCTTTAGGTCCAAATCCTTGTCCTGCTGTGGATACTACTGCCACCCACCCATCACCTTGGCACCCGGCTGCAGGCAAGGGCAAGGGCTAGGGCAAGGCAAGCGTTGGGGTGGATGCAGTGCCACGGTGGGTATGTGGTGTCATAGGGGGGTGGAGGAGGGGGTGGGGCACATAGGAACAGCAGGGAGGGCAAGCAGCAGGTGGAGACCGCCCTAACCACCACCCGGCCCCAAACGCTGCCCACGGGAGCCAGTCTCCATTAGGGCCACACACCACCCCCGCACGCACACCACCCCGGCAGCGGGAGCCGGCAGGGCCCCGAGGGGACCGCGACCCCTCCCCGCCCGGGGCCCCGGCCCCGGCCCCGCGCCCCCTCCCCCACCCCCGCCCGGTGCCTGGTCCCTGTCTTACCGTGGGCGCTGCGGCGGGGTAGGGGGCGCCGCCCAGCCGCGAGCAGACAGGGGCCGGCTCGGCACGGCTCCGGGAGGCGGCCGGGCACCGCCCCTCGCCCCGCCCCTCTCCCCGCCCGGCCCGGCCCCCGCTGGCCCTGCCGGGAGTTGTAGTTTGGGAGCTGCCGGCCTGGCGGCGGTGGGCTCCGGCCCGCCTGGGGGAAGCTCCCCAGGGCCAGCAGGAGGACCCTAAAGCTAGGAATGATGCGCAACCTTGCTCTGATTTGGGCGTTAAATTGGATTAAAAAGATCTCCTTCCGCCCCGCTCTGCTGTATTTTTGGCTGTGTGGTTGCCATGACAACCTTGCACACACCCGAGGGCAGCTGGAAGTGGGGAGCACAGTGTTAGTTTAGCACCGGGGTTATGCTTTCAGTCTCTTTTCGGCAAGGGGAGCAGCCTGGAATGGCGTGGTTTTATCCATAACCCTACCGGGGTTTCATTATTAATCCAGCAGCATGGGAGCTAGGCTGAGAAGAGAGGCAAGACCTACTTGTTATAAATGAAGTCTCAAGTCAATCTGAATGTTGTAGTATTTATAAAACAAATATTTCTAAAAGGTATAAAAGGCAAGTAAACAGTGCTGGGTGTGCGGGGAGTCTACGCTCCACCAACACGCACACACGAACCTTTCCTGATTGTACGTATGTATAGGCATACTCGGGTTTAGTATGTAAAGCAATGTTCTGTATATTTAGAATGTTTGATGTTCGTGTGTGCGTGTTGGTGGAGCGTAGACTCCCCGCACACCCAGCACTGTTTACTTGCCTTTTATACCTTTTAGAAATATTTGTTTTATAAATACTACAACATTCAGATTGACTTGAGACTTCATTTATAACACTGTCCTGGTCTCCATTCTGCCAGCCTGTTCCTCTTCACTTCTTCTTCCTGCTTCTTTATTGTAGCTTCATCGTGTTGCCTTTTTTTTTTTTTTTTTATCTTGAGGGCAGGCTCCCCTCTTATACCCTTCTCTCCACAGCAGTTCTTTTCAAAACAACTTTTCATTGGTCAAACAACTTTGAATGTAACAACAACAGCAAACACCCAGAAACATCCATGCCTTAACAGCTGGAGAACAAGAGAACCATCTCGAGAACAAGAAACCCTGAGACTGCATGGAGTCTCCTGAATCACCCTTCTTTGTTCCCTCTAAACTCTTTTACATTCCTGATGGCCTCGTCGTTAAGAGTCTAATGTTATCTCAACCACGGGGCTTTCCAACCCCCATGGCCACATTCCCAAATCTTCCCCTTCTTTATTAATATCAACCATTTTCTCGACACGAATTACCACTCCATATATAACACTGCCAAAGGAGGTGAATGGATGTGGAGCTGAATAGCTAGCTCACACCTGGAGCAGATGTTTTCAGAAGCATCTTAAAATACAGCGTTCTTGGTGTCATGGGGGGTCTGCTGTCATACTGCCACCACTGTCTTGGCAGAGCTTAATGCAGGTCCCGAGAAATAAAAATTGCTACAGGTGAGCCCCACGCTGCCCAACCCAGCCTCATGGCACTGCACTAGCACAGCCACATGCATGCTTCCCCCCTCTGTTTAGGGCAAACCTGAAGATGCACTGATCCTACTGCAGGATCCTGCTGCAGGAGCACATTTGGCAATGCCACCATGCGAGCAGTACCTTTGTGCAGCACACACCTGCGCTTGTACGCCTCAGGTCATCACCAGGTTTTGACATCACAGTGCATGCCCCAAGCCCCCAGGACTGAAAGACAAGCCTCGTTTTTTAACGTTTGGCAATTTTGGGGTGAGGTGGTCGGGAAGGTTTGGGGTCCCAGGGCTGCCTGGGGAGCTGGGGGGGTGAGCAGAGCTGGCACACGGCCTTACCCCACCCTCAGCATTTGTAAGGGGCTGGAAGGAGGGCTGTGTGCGCTGCTTCTGAACCCTGCTGCTCCCCATCCCAAGCTCCTGCATCCCAGCAGCCCCCCAAAGCCCCGCTCTCCCCATCCCCATCCCCATCCCCATCCCCATCCCCATCCCCATCCCATCCCCATCCCCATCCCCATCCCCATCCCCATCCCCATCCCTGGCCCCGACAGCGGCTGCAGGCAGCGCTGCGGCGTCACCTGGTGGCTGCGGGGGCTGCCTGCACCCCCAGCACCCATACTGGGCTAGGATGCAGTCCTGCCTGCACCCCCTGTACAGCTAGCTGTACCCCTTGCTCCCCCCCCCACAGCCTGCACCAACGGGCTGTGCACCCCTCTGCGCCCTTGCCCACACTCAGCAGGAGCGACAGCAGCAGCTCTGCTCTGTGAAAAGGTTTGGGAAAGGAAATGGTGTGAAGGCTAAAGCACCGGGAGTGTGCTTTTCCCAACCTCCCAACTGCCTTCATGCCTTTCTCGGGGGTTAGAGGTGACAGTAGCCCACCTCTCCAGCTTAAGCACCAGCAGCACATGAGGAAGGTGTTTAATTCCCTGCAGGGATGCAAGCATAGATCTGCCCCAAGCCTGGTGCCTGCCTGGCTGAGACAGAGGTGATGAAGCTCTGGGTGGTGCAGCAAGCTCTGCTGGGCCAGATCCCACTCTTACAGCCCCACGTGCTGGATCAGGGGATGGAGACTGCTTGGGGAGATGACGCCAGGAGCAGCACAGCGAGGGCTGGCCCTGCTCTCAGCAGCCAGGAATTGCAGGGCTCATTTGGATGCAGCTCCCAAGCCACTTTCTTCTGATCACCCCTCCTGCAAGTGCAGCCCAGTACATTCCTGCAGCCAGGGCTGAGGATGGAAAGTCAGAGGTACCCTGTAGGATAGTTTGGAGTTTGTTTTAGCTTGCTGCTTGACTTTCTGTGGATGCCATCCAGCTTGTTCCAACCACTGGCAATATTAAAGAACTGCCAGAAAGCAGAGACATGGATGCATAGGCAAAGACGGGAGGGTCTGGGGACGGATGCACAGGGGAAAGCCACGTGTTCTACACACCACAGAGGCCCATCAGGCGTTGTGGTTTCTTCCCCCAAAAGCCCAGTTTGATGAGCCTGCTTGTGGAGGGGTCTAGTTGCCCCCGCTCCCTTTGCTCCATCCCGTCCCTGGAGGCAGAACTGGCCTCGACATGTGCAGCCACAGCACAGACTGAGCCTCCCTCAAGGCCTGGGAACCTTGAGCAAGCAGAACGTAGACCTGCACAAGGCTTTAAGGTCCTTCCAAACCAGCGTTCCGTCAGCCGGTGATTGCGCGGCCGGCCGCGGAGGGGTGCCAGAGACTGCCGGCTGCAGCTCGCCTCCCTGCGGCCCGGCACAGCCCCCAGACTCCTCTTCCACAGCCTCTCTTTCCACAACCTCTCCTTCCACAGCCTCTCTGTCTGCAGCTTCTCCCAGTGGCTCCCAGCAGCAGCTCCGTGCTGAGTGCTGCTGGCCTTGCTCCTGGCCCTTTGGAGCTACCAGCAGCTACCTGTTGTGCTACCAGCAGGTAAACTGCAGCACAACGGGTACAAAGGCCTCTTGGAGCAACCTGGGGTTCTGGGGAGATCCTCAGCCACTAACCCCAGCCTTCAGGGAGGCCTGAGGAAGAAAAGAGCTTCTTTTTCCCTTTCCCTTTTCATCCCATAAGGAGTTAAAAACCTCACATCATGCCCCATAAAGGAAGAGCAAAACAGTCCCTGCTTTTATAGTATGCATTATGACCATAGGCTGGCAATGCCCCAGCTGCAGGCATGGTGCGATTATTGCACCTGAGAAAGCCAGTTGCCTTCCCTTATGCTTCATTTCATCTGGAAAAGGAAGAACACCTTTCCTGGGCCACATTTATTTACACACACCGATTTTAATGGTATGCCCAGTTCCCGAGCAGAGGCACTGCAAAAGGTACCTCACAAAGGAAAGGAAAAGCAGAGTCAGGCGAAGCAGATGAGCAAAGGGGAGTGCAGCTGGGTGAAGAAGGAGGGTGCAAGTGGGGGCAAAGACCTGCTTTATAGGATAAGTATAGGAAGGGATGCAAGACACGGACTCCTGATGGCTCTTGAACAGGAGATGTTTATTGCCTTTTTTCACCACTACATATACTTTCCCCGTAGCCACATGCGCTGTTCATATGCCCAAATCTGTCATACAATTGACAGATTCTCAGACACGCACCTCGAGCCAGCCAGCAATTGGCCACTGCCCAAAGCTCATCTTTAACACCTCAGCCGAGTTATTTTATCTCAACCTTGCTCAAGTTTTTGTTTCTACCGCTTCTTTCCTCATTATCTCTAATTCAGGGATGTGTGAAACTGCACGGAGCCACCTGCAAATTCCTTTCCCACAGTATGCATCCACAAATCATGGAACTACTGCCGGTACCTTGACCTCTGGTGTCAATGACAAGGTAGGATCTGCAGGCAATTAAATAAGGAGCCAAGCTGACGCACTGCCAAATCTCACACATACATCATGTTGTAGTTTAACCCGGCTGGCAGCTAAACACCACACAGCCGTTTGCTCACCCTCCCCCCTCCCTCTCTGGGATGGGGGAGAGAAATGGGAAAGTGAAGCCTGTGAATTGAGATAAAGACAGTTTATTAAGACAGGAAAATAATAATAACAATAATGATGATAATAGTACTACTTGTGAGAAACACTCCGTAGCCAATAACTTAGGCTCAGGCGAGGATCTCAGTGAAGTAGTAATTTATTCGCGATTGCAATGGCGGGCGCCCCACAAGCAGGAGAGAGCGCATCTACTAGTTCCAAAACACAGTTTATATACCTTTTGATGGCAGGACCCTCCCCTGTTTCCCCACCGAGTGGGTAATCCAGGTTCACAATCTATCTGATGCTTCACAATCAATGCATGGCCTTCAGTCGCCTGCCTGTTAAATTTCAATTTTCTTTTGACATTTTTACTGCTTGAAGTGGTAATGTTTCTTCACTTATCTGACTTGACTTGACACCGTGATTTTCACCTAATTGTCCTAAGGAGTCTGGTTGTCTGCATTTTACTAGGTCGCCTGCTAAACTTTCTTATCACTGTAAGCATATCTCAGTACCACATTCCCTCCTTCTAAACAATGTAACTCTGCAAAAACAACATTTCTATTCCCACAATTCCCCCCTTTTCTTTTTTTTATAAACT